AAGTATATATAAATACATTAACATACTATTTACTATGGCACTTACATAGTACTTTTCATCTTCAACACTCTATACAAGCATTAGCTGAGTAATTCTCTACATCCTGGCAAACTAATGAACTAGCAACATGAAAAATTGTATTTCGGATAAAAACAGTATTCTGATTATAGAAGCATAAAATTTCATTTCTTTAAATCTTCAAAAAACAGTGAATTTGCTTTTCTCTCTCTCTCTTTTTTAAAATACTATCTGGAGAGGGGACAAAAGTGCATGTATCTGAGACCTTGTATGACAAATTTAAGCTCAGAGTAAGTACGTTATAAATCCCACAAAACAGGGATTTATAATGAAAACACTGACAGGCACTTAACCATAGGAGTATTAGTGGGTGTTGCTAGAATTAGTATATATTATCTTTCTCATCAATATTTTTTTTTTCAAACCACATGAAGAGACATCTGCTATATTACATCCTTGGTAACACACTAAGAGAAACTATGGAAAAGTTACAGCATATATGAAAATAATATGTACACATATACACACACAACATAAATACATTTAGAAATATTTAAGTTACACTATACACAATCTGTATAAAATCTAATTGTGATTACAATTTTGGTGGATGCGTAGGCGGGAGAGGGGGGGACATGGTTGACTCAAGTTTTCAGAACTTCCGTTGTAAAAGCCAGATTTTGCAAAAACTATGTGTGAGAGTTAATTTAACTGACATGAGTAGTCGCAGAGTTCACGTGGTTTATACACGTGAATTACTCATGTTTGCAAGAGCTGCCCCTACATGTAATCCTTTATGTTAATTGATTACTGCAAACAGTCCAATTTTGAATTTTGATATTGTAACTATTCATTATATATTCAGTATATTTTACTTATATTTCCAATTTAAAATTAATTGAGATTTAATAAAAGGTGTTATGAAAAAACATACTACATATATTTGTTTAATAAAAGAGACTTACACCATATGCCCAGCACCCTTTCATACAGATGTATTGTAATACAACAACCATATCCTAGAAAAATGTGGTTTGCCAGTACTCAATCATTCTAGTAATTAAACACTGCACAACAATTTAATCATCATTTAAGTCTTTATTATTTCATATACCTATTAGAAAATGTGCACGTAAGCATACCCAAACTCTCTAGACTTTTGTATCATTAGTTTTACTTAATTTTTACAAATACTGTAATCTTTCTTGATCTACAATAGCAGAAAAACAGATTTCTATCTCATGCAAAAAAATGTGATGCAAGCAGCACAACATTCAAAGTGTTAAAAAAAGAAAGGACACTTTTTAAAAGGAATGAGAGCCCATAATAATTCAAAGACACAGCAAAGCAAAGTAAGGTTTTTCTTTATAACTTGGTGGTCTGCTACAGAAAACATATGTATATGGAATATGCATAATTACTGTTTGTATCCATTACTTGCTGGTATGCATTAAAGTAGCCAAAGGAAAATTTATTCTTATCTTAAAAGATTTCAAAACAGATCTATTTCATTATGAACCCAATCCTGAGAGATGCTGACTACCTCCTACATTTCAGTGGACGTGGAGTGCACCAGATCAGGGCCAAACAGGGTCAGTTTATTCTAAATCATGTGAAAGTATAATGGAGTTGCAATTGTTACTGGAAATGAGGAAACCTCTAACATTATATAAATAAAGTTTGTGTATAAGCCCAAACTTGTGTGATTTTTCAAAATGCTCATGCTTTTCTTATGATAGTTTATACACACTTTAAACTAAATTCTCAGAATGTACTATGTATGAATGATTTCTAAAGTGGAAGCTTTTCATTCTGCTCTATTTAGGCAAAAGAATATATGATTAGTGCCATCTAATGGAAATCTGGAGTACTGGGGTACATTGTAGCAAATTCTTCCCTGCTCACCACTATATGTTAGATTAAAAAAATACATTGAAATGTTTAATCCTATTATTTTGTATAGTTAGAAGGATGCATTTATACCTCAGGCATTAATCTGTGGATTTTAAAAATGCAAACAAACCTTCCATCAAATTAAGAATAATAATCATATGAAAGGTATAGAGTTTATAACATAACACAGTGTGTATCCATAAGACAAGAGCTACAATATACTGAAGATTTTTGGATTGGGAAGAATTACTCGAAATAAAAAGCAGATAGTTCTGAAAATTAATGCATGTACTATTCTGAAATGAAATTGAATGTATTTGTTTTGAAAAGCAAAAAAGCTTTCATTTGGTCCTAATCTATAAATGACAGTATATATGCACTCCATTTTATAGCACAAGCAAAGCTTAGGGGCAGTATATAGATGACATATTTGGACTGAAGCACTTATTCATAAAAGGCAACAGCTGATTCTGGGTATCATCCAGAAAATTAAAATGGGTATAAAAATTATATTATTGTGCCCAATCCAGCAAATATTATAAGTGTGGTACTTTACTGATGTGAGTAATCCCAGTTTACCAATTACAAGATAGTTTAACCACCACAACTGACTAAAGCCTTGGTTTTATGCCTCATTTGAAAGATGGAACCTCTGTCAGCACACTGCTCCCTAAAATCATTTGGTGGCATTGGTTCATTAAGTGACTCACGTGAAATTATACCTCCTAAACCACATCTTGTACCACCTGGATTTTCTTTGAAAGTTTCTATCCAACTAAAAGTAGACCTAATCCTGCTTATCTTGAGACCTGATGTGCTCACAGCACAAAGGGATACAGTAGTACATTATACATTTTGTGCAGAATATGATGGGGGGAGGGCAAAAAAATAATTTTCATAAAATGCTTGTACTTCCAAAGAAAACAGGGCACTTCTCTGTCTCTGAAGGTAAACTCAAGATCCAGTTGGACTGTGGCATTTATGCAAATGTTGCTTCTAGGACTTATTCTTGCATTTACATGATGCATCCTTCACCATTTAGTTCTGTTCCCCACCTCTACTACACATAAACAAATTGAATACAAAATTAGCCAACATTAATTTATAAGTGTCTAGGAAATTTAGTTTCCTCTTAGAACACATGAAATATGCAGTTATACATTATTCTGCTATCAGTGGATGAATTTTGTTTTATAATATACATCTATAAAGTAGTCAGTGTAACTGATCTGTTAAAGTTTGTAGTTCTGATAATACAAACAGAAATAAATTGCAGAGCTATAAAAGTTATAATAAAACACGTGAATATTGATTATGTCAGTGACACAGGTGACAAAATGGTTAATGCGGTGCTTCATGAGCAGGTATGCACTAGAAATACTTCTGTCAGATTCTGTTCCTAACAGACCAGCTTTGAGATCTGCTTGGGATCTGCTTGTTAGAATAGGCACAAAATGAACAGGAAAGCTGTAAATGCCTCATTTTAAGGCAGGTCTCACCAGTGTGAGCTCACATCAAAGGTGCATAATAAGTTAGGAAATTTGCTTGTCCTCTGATTTTATTATTTGAAGCCTGGGTCAGCAGCACATATAATTGGAAGCAAAGATCGGGCTGACACAATGGGGTTTATTGTCTCCTTATCAGGGTTCACTTGTAACTCCTGTTTAAGTTAATAGGAGTTATGGAAAGGAAAATAGACCCCTATGCCACAAAACTGGGGCTCAGTTTTGATAGTTCAAATAAAATTATAATCAGCTCTAGAAAAATCAATTAAATTTAAATGTTGTGTCCTATCACGAAAGCGTTTATGACACTCCTTCCATATATCAGAGGGGTAGCCGTGTTAGTCTGGATCTGTAAAAAGCAACAAAGAGTCCTGTGGCACCTTATAGACTAACCGATGTATTGGAGCATAAGCTTTCGTGGGTGAATGCCCACTTCGTCAGGCACATCATGTCATGCCAGTTAGTCTATAAGGTGACACAGGACTCTTTGTTGCTCCTTCCATATACTATATGCTGATCTGAAATGATATTAGCAAACCGCAATGATGCTTTAATTGTTGCATTTTGTGCCTATATCCAGTGGCGATGGGTGCATAACAAATGCCCAAATTGGAACGTTACTTGGGGTTTCAATCAGTGATTATTTACAGCTGCATCTTAGTTTTTATTTTGACTTCTTAAAAAAATAATTCCGGATAGCCTTTGAATTCTAAAAATTAATCCACTAAAGTTGTCATTTCCTGTCAAATAGTCAGATCTGGTATCTTATAAAGATATTACATATGTTACTGTTTAAATGCCGATATTAAACATTTAGACTAAGGTCCTGCAGTCAGATTCACATGGATGGGCCCTTATGCCCCAACGGCCGCCTTTGCAAATCCAAATTCAGGAGTGGGGCATTACACATGAAGTGTGGTTATTCCTCTCTGCATTTTTTTAAAGGTGTATGTTTTTTCTAAAAAAGAGCAGCTGTGATGGAGCATTTTTGTTTGATTGAACTATAGTATCACATAAATAAAGTACACATTGTGAGGGGAAGAAAATTACATTACAGCTCACATCACTTCCTGCATGAACCTTTGTGTGCACTATTATTAAAAGTAATTTTACAATAAAAATTTCACACACACAAAGGAATAAATGCTGAAAAAGATTTAAACGCACTTGAACAGTATTTTGAAAACATTTTCCTAAGACACTTACTAAATAATAATATTTCATATATTAAATGCTGCTAAGCAATTTCTTATTAAAACCGTGTGCAATATGTAATACAACTGTGATTTTCAGGCTAACTGCATAGTCTGTGTCAGGGGACAGGAAGATGCTATCAAATTTGAGATATATCATATCATATTGGGCAAGGAAGCTGGACAATGTTTCCAAAGCATTCTAAAATCTGGGCTATGAACACACTAAAAGCAAAGCAGTGATTTATAACAAACTTCCAGCTTCAACAGAGAACTCTAATAAATTACAACTAAATTTAGTAAACCATAGTGTATCATTTCCTGCAGCAGAGACACCCATTCCTAAAAGGGCCCTCAATATGCATGACACAACAAGCAGCACCCATTCAACCTGAGGGAAGCCCACAGGCTCGCAGGGCCACTGGCTGGCTCTTTGTCACCAAATGCAGCAGGTTGAATGCAGACATCACTGTGATATCCTCACCAACAAAACCAGAGGCAAAGAACAGGGGCAAGAGCTGAGTAGGGAAAAAAAAAAAAAAAAGATGAAAACATCAAAAATGTTAGATACATTCATAGCAAAACTGATGGTTATGATTCTACCTGAAAAGAAAACATAGGACTAAGAAATTCTGAATGCACATTTATTAGTTGGTTTAGCCCCTTTTTGCCTTCTGCTTTAACCTTGTTTACATTTGTTAATTAGAATACATAGCATACAATGCTGCAGCTCTTTATGTTACCAGGCAGGGGGGAAATCTTAATGTCGTGCAATGCAGGGCAACCCAAATTTGCAATTAAAAATTTACTGAAAACACATGTCTATGTGGTGAACGCTGGAAACCAACCATTATGAAAAACTGTTCAGTTGGCTGGTTGGTTAAACAAAGCCAAACTTTATTTTAACAAAAAACTTTCCAGTTATCAGGAAAAATAATGGGGAAATCATTTCTTTAAATAAAGATAATTTATATCTTAAATTCTCCAAGGGATACATTTAAGCAATTTTCCAGCTGGCACTAATATAGAAGAGAGGGATATGGCAGTGGGGATTTTTTATTTTGTAAGATGCAACATGTGTCTATGGTAATGGTTTTGTTTACCTCACAATAGGAAGGATGAAATGCAGCTGCCTCAGAGGATAGCCATTCATAGCTGCAGTCTGCTTCAGAAGATTATTGCAGTAACTGACACTGGGGACTCAAGCCTACCCCCACTGAAGTCAATCGTGAAGTTCTCATTGATTTCAGTGGGAGCAGGATTAGGCCCCGCATGGTTAATGATTTGAATAACAATGGACCACTCTCAACCTCTTCCAAGACACGTTTTTTTAAATGGTTACAGAATGGAAATGCCCAGAAATGTACTCAGGAATGATTTTCTCTTGTACATTTCCTGAACCAGAAGAGAAGTCTGTGCATGGTCTCTTCTGACCCCTGAAGAACAAACACATAACAAACAGTAATATATATTATCACGTCACTCTGGAGTGTATCTGACAGAAATCTGCTTGTATTAACATGCCTGAACTCTGACTTCTCCAAACTAAACTCACTACAAAACCAAAACATTTTTATGTTACTAAATGGAGACAAAAGAGAGAAGGAAGGTAAGTGCCACACAACGAACAGCTCGAAAGAACCATTAAACATAAATAAACATGTCATTTTCACGAGTGACTGCAGAACTGGTTAAAAAAAATCCTCCAGAGCAGACTACTGACTAATAAAAGATCAAAGATCTATACACAATAAACAGTACAAATAAAAATGTATTTTTTTCTAGTGACCTTCACTGTGAGAAGTAAAGTGTGCAGTGAAAATGTAATTACCTAGCAAAGCTGCAGTCTTATTGTGCTCCCGCAACTGATCATAAAACGTCTTCCTATTCTGTTTCATCAACTGCAGTACCAGGCAGCCTGTGCGCCTACCAATCGCAGCCATCTGGCTTGTGTCAAAGCCTGTGAGTCAGGCAGCTACAGTGCAACAGGAAGAAAGGCAGTGATGTCACTCTGCAGGTCAGGCAAAGAACAAAGATGTATTCTACAATTAAAAAGCTGGGTGCCCCAAGAGTAGGGGTCTCCAACATGCTCTTACTGGATAACCTATAGTTAATACTGTTTTTACTATTATCTAAATAGGAGAGCACCATCTAGTGGTTATTGTTGCAAAAGGCTCTTTTAGGAAAAATCATTCAGTTAGCAAAGACATAGCTGTGTTGCTAAGGTTAGATAATGGACTCTGAAAGTGTTAAAAAGAACTTTATACAGCAAGATGGACAAAGGGTATGGCTTGCTTTCAGTCAGTGATCTTATGCCCCATACAGCAATTCTATCTATTACATGACACAGTCACACAAGCAAGGTGAAATGTTTAATATTTGCCAAGTTTTAGTGCTAAGGCTGAAATACTTCCTTTGACTCTCGTGAGTGAATTTGGAAGTAGGAGGGAAGGAGTGAAAAGGAGAACACCATCTCTGTAGTGATTTCAAGTGTAAATTAATCAGGATTTTGTTACTTCTCTGAGAGATCACTGGTCTTCCCAGGCCACACCCCCACAGACGTGGTCAGTGGAGACACAAGAGCTGAAGCCCCCGTTAGTATAAAGGGGGCTGTTGGCAGAGCATTCTCCATTTGATCACTGATCGGTTTCTCGTTAGAATAATTTATACTGCAAATGTATACCAATTTAACAGATGCACTCCTTAGGGCCATAAGATACCATTGATTTGCATGCAGAATTTGTCAATGAAGTCAACTGGCTTCTGTAAAAACCGATTGCATAACAGCTCCTCAGGGCAGAGACTGTGTCCACCTGCGTGGATGTGAACAGCATCTAGCAAACTGTGGGTGCTACCACAATACAAACTGTAATTCAAAGAATAAGACTAGTATCTAGTTCCTAATGTCTGCATTTACATCATTCAAATCCCAGTCCTGTGCTCATTTCTCAAGCAAAACTGCCACTAGCCTCAATGGGAACTTTGTTTCCTGTAGATATTATTTTACGTAGGCTTGGCTCATAAGAAATTCACAACATAGTACTCCTAATTTATTAAAAGTAATCTGCTGAGAAAACTCTCAGCTATTTTGGAGACCTTGGCATCACACAGTAATTTCAGACAGAAATTTCTGTAGGCCAAGGTGTGATAGAAGCTGCCTATACCATGTCTGATATGTAGTTTACCAGAGATCTTCCATTGCAGCCATTTAGAAATACAACATTCTCTAACATTGTTGCACTGGGAAATAGAGGATAGAAAAATAAAAATACTCAATTTCACACTTTCTAAAAGAGCATCATTTGTGTTTTTTTCACTTTTTACAATCTGTTCACTATTCTTTAGATGGGTACGTCCCATTGGATGACAGAGGAGCTGGCACATTTGTTTGTGAGGGGAAAGGAGGGAGAAATGTTAGTCTCCACTCTTTATATTTTCCTCATGTTTCATTTTTCCTGTTGTGCCTTCCCTCTGCTTGCTTCATAGATTTGTTTCTTAACAACCTAAGGCTGTTTACCACTGCAGCACAAACTATTTTTTCCTCTTTTGTTACAAGTAAACAGGACTGCAAGTCCCCAAAGTGTAAGCTGTTGAAAAGCTATTTAAAAACCCCAAAGATTTCAAACTAGACAGACCCTGATCACCTGAAAAAGCCACTGTTCACCAAATTGTTGCTATTGGTCCCAGGTATCGATAAAGGATGTAAAGCTATAACTCTACAAAACCCAATAAAACTGAACTAGCATTCATAAAAAAATACTACAGCAGAAGGCTTTCTTCTCTCTTTTGAAGTTTAAGCGCTATTTCTATTACTTGTATTGCAGCAGTTCCTAGAAGCCTGAAGCAGCACCAGGGCCCCCCTGAGCTAGGTGTTGTGCAGACACACACAAAGCCATAATCCCTGCCACACAGAATTTACAATCTAAGCTGACAAATGACGTGCAAAGGGGGGTGGAGGGAAGAAGGATACAGTCAAAAGATATATAATTTTTAGCATAAGCTAATGCAAGATAAATGTGCCTAAGAAGCTGCTGTACATCCCTGCCCTGTTATTTCCAAGCAAGAGTAAGAGAGCGTGTAGTTGGAAGGAGAACAGTGGTCAGTGGCGGATTAGTCACTGGGCCAACGGGGCCTGTCCCCAGCCAATTGAAGGGCCCTGGAAAAATAGGCACCCCCGTACCCTGACCCCCCTCCCTGGCATGTTTCGGCTCACGGGGAGCGGACAGAGCAGGACTGAGCAGTTTTTCCCCTGCACTCTGGAGCCTGCCTCAGCAGCTGGACACTGCCTCCTGGGTCCTAGTGCCCTCCTCTTTCCTCTACAACCCTGATGCCCGCAGGGAGGAGAGAGGACAGAGCAAAGGGGGTGGGGTGAGGAGAAGGGGAGAAGAAGGGGAGGAGGAAGAAAAGGAGATACGGGAATGGGTGGAGGGAAGCAGGAACCCAGCATGTGGCGTTCCCTGGGCAGCAGCAGCCCCAGCAGGGAGGCAACCACTGCAGCACCAGAGCAGGGACATCTCTGCAGCAGCCGATGCCAGAGTGGTTCCAGCAGCAGCTGGGGCTCCCCCGTTATGCCATCCTGTCCCCCCCCCCCCCCCCCCCCCAGCACTGGCAGCCCAGGTATTGCTGTAGATGGGAGGAGAGATCCAGTGAACCAAGGGGACTGGCTTCAGCGTGCACGTGCGCGCGCATGTGTGGGCACACTTTGTCCCCCCAAGCATAGCAGTCAAACTACACTTATGGCCCCGGGACTGGAGGAGTTCTGGCTCCCTCCTGTGGCCTCAGGGCTGGGGAAGCTCTCACTGCCCGCTGCGGCCCGGGGCCATGGTGGGGGAGGGGCAGAGCTTTCTCCGGTGTTGGGGCTGCAGTGGGGGAGCGGGGGCAGAAAGGAGCAAGGTTGCAGAGCAGCAATGGGGGGGGCAGAATGGGGCTGACTGTGCGTGGAATGGGGCAGGGCAGCGGGGGAAGGGGCAGAATGGGGTGAGGCCATGGGCAGGGCCGCAGACGGAAGGGGCAGAACGGGGGGCGGGACTGCAGGCAGAAGGGGTGGGGAGGGGCTCCCCACTTGCTCTGGCCCAGGGCCCCACGAAACCTTAATCCACCTCTGATAGTGGTAACATGTCTGGATATCAGTTAAATCTCTTGATCCTGTTTCTACTTTGCCATAGACTTCAACAGGTTCAGAATCAGACCTGCAACTTGGATTTCTAAAATAAGAAGTCAGGCCACTACAAGGAACTTAGGAGGAAACCACTGTTCCAGTATCTTCAATGCCAATTACCATTCTTGGGGAGAGATTTTATGCTGTGCCTCTAGAGCAGTGGCTCTCAACCTTTCTAGACTACTGTACTCCTTTCAGGAGTATGATTTGTCTTGCATAACCCAAGTTTCACCTCACTTAAAAACTACTTGCTTACAAAAGCAGAAATAAAAATACAAAAGTGTCACAGCATGCTCTTACTGAAAAATTGCTCACTCATTTTGTCTGTATGAAATTTTAGTTTGTACTGACTTCACCAGTGCTTTTTATGTAGTCTGTTGTAAAACTAGGCAAATATCTAGATAAGTTGATGTACCCCCTGGAAGACCTCTGTATATCCCCAGGGTATGCGTATCCACCACTTCTCTAAGGGGTGCAGCACAGAATGCTTAGCCCAGGGAGAGGGTAGGTAAAATGGTTTTCAGCCACCTTTGCACTCTCCCAGTCCTGGACTGTTCTGGGGCCTGAAGAGACCCCCAGCATAATGCAGGCAGCTCAGGGGGGCCTGTTTAAGTTATAGCAGCCTCCCAGGGCTGCCCTATGGACTGCAGCACTGTGCAGAATCTCTGCAGTGCTGTGTGCTACAGCTGTACCCCTGACACCCCCTCCCACCCCAGTTACGCACTCAACACATCCCTTACACCAAGGCTTCTCTCCCAACTGGAACCAGGGTTTTAGGTAGGGTTGCCAACTTTCTACTCGCACAAAACTGACCACCCTTGCCCTGACCCACCCCTCCTCCGAGGCCACTACCCTGCCCTGTCCCTTCTCCGAGGCCCCGCCTCTGATCACTCCATCCCCCCTCCCTCCCTCTGTCGCTCACTCTCCCCCACCCTCATTCAGTCGCTCATTTTCACCGGGCTGGCTCAGGGGGTTGGGGTGCGGCAGGTAGTGAGGGCTCCAGCTGGGGGTGCAGGCTCTGGTGTGGAGCTGGGGATGAGGGGTTTGGGGTGCAGGAGGGTGTTCCAGGCCAGGACTGAGGGGTTTGGAGGACGGGAGGGGATCAGGGATGGGGCAAGGGGTTGGAGAGCGGGACGGGATCAGGGATGCAGGTTCTGGGCGGCGCTTACCTCAGGCGGCTCCCAGAAGCAGCGGCATGTCCCCCCTCCAGCTCCTACGTGGAGGCGGTGCCAGGCAGCTCTGCGCACTGCCCCATCCACAGGCGCCACCCCCACAGCTCCCATTGGCCAGGATTCCTGTCCAATGGGAGTTGTAGAGCTGGCGCTTGTGGCGGGGACAGCACGCGGATCCCCCTGGCTGCCCCTACGCCTAGGAGCCAGAGGCGGTATATGCCACTGCTTTCGGGAGCCGCGCGGAGCCACAGCAAGCAGGGAGCCTGCCTTAGCCCCGCTGCGCCGCTGACTGGACTTTTAATGGCCTGGTCAGCGGTGCTGACCAGTGCCGCCAGGATATCTTTTCAACTGGGTGTTCCAGTCGAAAACCAGATACCTATCAACCCTAGTTTTAGGGCCCCTTTCACCTGGTGCAAAGGGGCCTGAGCAGGGGTGTGGATCTCCCTCTTGGTATTTCAGCAGTCTTGTTAGATTGGCTCTCATCTCCAAACACAGTGCCCATGTTCTATCTTGTTAACCATCTAAATACAGTAAATCACAAATTCCACTAGCTCCTGTATTGTCTTACTAAATCATTAGATGGGATCTG